ACAGCTGAGAGAGTTAGATTCTCTGAATGCTTCACCCAGTAAGAAATGAGAGGTACAGTATGTGACAGCTGAGAGAGTTAGATTCTCTGAATGCTTCACCCAGTGAGAGATGAGAGGTACAGTATGCGACAGCTGAGAGAGTTAGATTCTCTGAATGCTTCACCCAGTAAGAGATGAGAGGTACAGTATGTGACAGCTGAGAGAGTTAGATTCTCTGAATGCTTCACCCAACTATAATGACTGAATACACAGTTTTCATCTGTATTGTGGTCATGAAATGTGAGTGGTGAGATCTGCCTCCCCATTTGGTCATAGTAACTAACAGACTACAACATTCACTCTCGTTTCATATCAAAGTATGTTCCACATGTTATCAGTATTCCTCTCAGTGGCTTCACATGACAAGAAGCTTGTTTGAACCTAAGCATGTTGATAGCTTGGAGTGACTTTGTGTATACATAATAGGTGTAACTCGCTCAGTAAAAGCTGCTTTCAGGCCATACTTCTTCAAAGTAAGAGCAAGGTCATGGTGAGGGAAGTAAGAACTCTGGGGGATAGGTTGAGAAGTTCAATTTCCAGGATGTCAACCCCCAGTCTTACTAGTCCCACTCAACCTCATTCTTCATTGTGAACCTGTACATAAGTGCAACATTCCCGCAGCTTCCAAGGCAGATAGGCACAACAGGATTGTCTCCCCTTGATCCATAAACCACAAGCTTGCACCATTTTAAGAGTGTTTCAGTCAACCTAGTCAACGAGCCTGACCACCCGATCCCGTTAGTCGCCTCTTATGACAAGCAAGGGTTACTGAAGATCAATTCTAACCTGGATCTTCATGGGTCTGTTCTGAATAAACTGTTCAAACTGAGTAGAAGTGTATTTGTTCTCACGTGAGTACTGGATGGTGACCCTCTCTCTCTCCACCCCATGGGTTGCCCGGGGCAGACTGTACAGTGAGATGAACAGGGTGTTGGACATGGCGGCGCTGTAGCGAAGACAGTGACTGAACCACACGTGCTGTAACAGACCAGACTTAGGCTATAGAAAACTTAATATGGCCATGACATATTGGAAGAAAAACACACAAAACTTATTAATATACTGTGCCAGAAAATACAATAGTTGAAGAATATACTAAGGTGTGCTGTACAATACACTAACCACTTTGTTCCCTGTACATCGTCCACCAACACACCACATATTACCTATACACTGTCCACTACGTCTCAACACATTACCTGTATATCGTCCACCAACACACCACATATTACCTATACACTGTCCACTACGTCTCAAGATGTTACCTGTACATCGTCCACCAACACACCACATATTACCTGTACACTGTCCACTACGTCTCAACACATTACCTGTATATCGTCCACCAACATACCACATATTACCTATATACTGTCCACTACGTCTCAACACATTACCTGTACATCGTCCACCAACATACCACATATTACCTATACACTGTCCACTACGTCTCAACAAATTACCTGTACATCGTCCACCAACATACCACATATTACCTATATACTGTCCACTACGTCTCAACACATTACCTGTATATCGTCCACCAACATACCACATATTACCTATATACTGTCCACTACGTCTCAACACATTACCTGTACATCGTCCACCAACATACCACATATTACCTATACACTGTCCACTATGTCTCAACACATTACCTGTATATCGTCCACCAACACACCACATATTACCTATACACTGTCCACTACGTCTCAACACACTACCTGTATATCGTCCACCAACATACCACATATTACCTATACACTGTCCACTACGTCTCAACACATTACCTGTATATCGTCCACCAACATACCACATATTACCTATATACTGTCCACTACGTCTCAACACATTACCTGTATATCGTCCACCAACATACCACATATTACCTATATACTGTCCACTACGTCTCAACACATTACCTGTACATCGTCCACCATGGTCCAGTTGACAGCAGACAGATTGAAGTGGTAGCATTCTATAGGGTGATTGATGGGGTGTACTTCAAGGAGGAAGCCTTTCACTGCTCTGTAGGAATCTGGAAACAAGTTCCACAATATGACATCCATGTTTTGTTTTTTTAATTTCTAAATACTGACACACAATATGTTTTGGGGGTGACTGGACCCAGATTATCCCTAATCTGAATTGTAAACCAAAAGTCACTGGTTCTTTAATCTAATTGGTTGAAAAACATGATCGAATGGTATTCGATTCACGGAAATTGCAAGACTATTCACTGCGTATTGACAAGTACAAATATCACACACAATTGTATTATTGCGTCGTCAGCAGTGGTGACGTCATTCAAATCATATTGTGACGTAAAGTCGGAATGACGACACAAATGAGCAGTTCCAGATGCTACCATGGGCACCAGCTGAAACAGCCAGCTGATGACACTTCACTGCTGTACCCGTACTCGATGTCAAGGAGAGCAGACACTAAAACCCATGGTGTACTTTTGTGTTTACAATGTCGATAAACATCATGTGTTGGCCAATTTCGGGTGTTATTGAGTATTTGAAGCATGGGAATATTTCATTTGAAACCTCCGGCTAAAATCCGGCCAAATCAATTCCCGTGCTTCAAATACTCAATAACACCCGGAAACTGGCCAACATGATCTTTATCTCCTAATTCAAAGTCACAAACAATACATCACATTTATTTAATTGTACATTGATAACTTACAGCAAACAACAAATTTTGTCATTGAGATATTTTAAAGTACAAATCAAGTTTTAAGGGTTGACAGCTTAGGTCTGTATATATGCTGTATTTATATATCTCTCATGGCCTGGAGACATTTCAAAGATTGCCTACACAAGAAACTTCAAAGATCAAACTGGACTGAAGACAGAATTTGGAGTACCCATACCAATTTGGGCAGGTACATAAATGATTTTTGGAACAGCATAATGATGATTTAACATACCTGGATGCACTTATCAGCAGTGACACAGATAGCCTGAACTCAACAACAGGGACATATATATCCTGAATGAGTAAATGCTAGCACACACAAGTTAGTCAGTCTGATGAGCTACCTTGTACAGTGCCTGTGAGGTGCTTCCTATATGACGAACGGTCTACATGATTGTTGTGCTTTGATTGGCTAGAGTATGTGTATGTCTCTTTACAGGAGCCAACTCTTGAAGGGACAGAGTGAGCAAGCAAGCGAGTGAGTTTAGTTTTACACCGCTTTCAGCAATATTCCAACATCATGGCGGAGGACACCAGAAATGGGCTTCACACATTGTACCAATGTGGGGAATCGAACCCCGGACAGAGCGGTGTTGCCGATATATTTATGCTAGGTCATCACATAGTGGTAGTGGTGGCATGGACCCTTACTTTGTACCTGTTGACCAAGGCATCCATGGCAATCTGATACCGATTAAGGTGTAATAATAAACTGCAGGAGCAATGCCAAGAGATAGAGCTGCACAGTGGCAGACAATTCCCAACTTATACTTTTATCTTCCATTAGCCATTGGTCTAGAAACACATATGGTTTGATCATTATTCATCATGTTATTAGTGTTCATAAACATGTTTACATTACACATACTATTTCAATTAGTTTAAACAGTTTACAACATTAATAATAGATTTAGCACTGGCTGTGTCAAATTTGAAGGGACCTAGTTTGAGTTTATTGATGTTTGACACAACCATAACATGATGACTAAATGAGGAATACATGGGGACATGTCAAAGTACAACACTGTTTGATTGTATCATTGATACTCAATAATAATACAAAATTGTATTAGTCATATAATTTGTGAAATCTAGGTAATCTTATTTGGTAAAAGCAGATTATCTAGTAAAATTCTGAAACGTTAATCAATATATTCACACCCATTAGTTATTGCAATGTACATCATGTTCATAGAGGATTAATATTTGATTAGCTTCATCGTGAACAAATAATTATATTAATTTTTCCATCTGTAGACCAAAGAAGGACCTGAGGTGGTTCTATACTATTCAGATAACAAATGGAATAAAAGTCCCACTGAATACGAATCCTTTTCTACTTTACCCTCAAAATTAGACCCTGGGGGCTTATTCAAAGTATATATCCAAATGAAATATTTACAAGCACAGAGGAAAACTGCACGTGAACATAGACTGGAACTGGATGACAAGTAGAAATGTAGTAACCTGGGTTTAAGTACAGGGAAGAAACTGATGAGGGTTGTATGCAAGGAGCTTTGATGCTCCATTCACTCCATCAAATATGGGACACTGCAGGAGGAAATGGATACAGTGTGTGGAATAAGCTTGACTATGAGACTGGGAGATTTGATAATGCCATCGGTCTTGAATCACACACAGACTGGAGTTCTCTATCCCACTGTTGTGAAGCTCATGGGAGTGCATGCAATGCTGATCTTTTCCACACCAAAGGCTGAAAGGGTGATTTCTTCTTGTCAGGCGGGGCGGTGGGGTAGCCTAGTGGGTAAAACGTTGGCTCAACCCGGGTTTGATTCCCCAAATGGGTACAATGTGTGAAGCCCATTTCTGGTGTCCCCCAGCTGTGATGTTGGTGGAATATTGCTAAAAGCGGTGTAAAACCAAACTCACTCATTCTTGTCAGGCTGATTGTAACACAGCACAGACAGGTTGTCAGCAACCTCTAGACAGCATCGAGATAAATAATAATAATGAGAATATTTATAACGTGCCTTTTCCAGGCTAGATATCCGGCTCAAAGCTCACAATCTGATCATTACTACCCCGGATAACCCAAGTTGCCTGTTAGGCGCTAGAAGGTTAATAGTCTCATGACTTATTTCACCGGGTACCCTGGGTATCTGTATATCTTATGTACATTTTTATAATACTTGTTACTTGATTTTTCACTCAAATTCAACTAACAAAGCACAAGAAGATCAATGTGAAATACAATAAAGCTTTATTTCTTTACCCAACAACGAAAACTTTATTTATTTCCAATTTCTTATTGCATTAGTGACATTAGTATCTGGGATGGTGTCATCTCTTTGCAAACTTGTTTGCCCTCTTGCATTTCCAGCACCTTTATTTGGAGAAGCAGTTTCTGCGTCTGTAGCTCCTGTAGCTTCCGTTCTCCAGAAAGAACTTGCTGCTGCAGCTCGTACACCTTCTCACATGAACTTGGCTCCTTCCTTGTCCAGTGTGTGGAGACAGTTGTGGTCAGAGAAATGGAGGCTATAGCTGGAGTGTTGCTGGTGGAGGCTACATCTGGGGTCTAGCTGGTGGAGGCTACAGCTGAGGTCTGGCTGGTGGAGGCTACAGCTTGGGTCTGGCTGGTGGAGGCTACAGCTTGGGTCTGGCTGAAGGAGGCTACAGCTGAGGTCTGGCTGGTGGAGGCTACAGCTTGGGTCTGGCTGGTGGAAGCTACAGCTGAGGTCTGGCTGGTGGAAGCTACAGCTGAGGTCTGGCTGGTGGAGGCTACAGCTTGGGTCTGGCTGGTGGAGGCTACAGCTGGAGTCTGGCTGGAGGAGGCTACAGCTGAGGTCTGGCTGGTGGAGGCTACAGCTGGGGTCTGGCTGGTGGAGGCTACAGCTGGAGTCTGGCTGGAGGAGGCTACAGCTGGGGTCTGGCTGGTGGAGGCTACAGCTGGAGTCTGGTTAGGCGTCATCACGATGGCAGACTCGGACGTGGCCGTCTCAGCAGCTGTGTCAGTAGGGAGGGTCGCTTCACACTCCTCATCACCTGATGATGTTTATAAAATACAATACATTTTCAATCAATATCTAAACATAAAGTGATCTTGATATAAGTGTATATCATTTCTTGATAATGTTAAATGTTGAACCAACATTAATATATAATATACCTTGATATCTATGTTAGTTCAACATATAACTTGGTATGATATACATATTCCTATATGTAAATACGAAGTAATTCTCTTGAAATATTCTTTGTTTCCAATTAAATTTAAATTTTGAACGGGTACATAAGACATACCTGAAAAGCGTTAAATCTTGTATACAAGGGACAGCACTCCGTATGGCATATGTGAAAGAGTAATCTGTATAAGAGTTATCCCCCCTTGTAATGTACTCTCCATGGGGTCGTTACTCAATGCCATATGCACATGGTACTGTAAAACTATGTAAATGGATACTTTACAGTTTTTTTTGGAGAGAACCGTCCCATGATCAAGGTCAGTAACATTTATTTCAACACGTGTATGTATTTTTGTGAGCTGTCTACAGAATACTATGACAGAGCAGTATTGAAGATCTAAACAGGACGATTTATTGGCAATATTGACGAATTATTTGAATTCTTCGAGCTCCCCTTCCCATGGATGGATTTTAATTATATTCTTACTAATCATTACAGCAATAGACCTTAATTTCCTTGTCATTCTTCGATTGTTATTGAGGCAAATTAAACACAAAAGCATCTTATGAAATGTCTATATACGGTATAAATTGACGAAAACCTTATTAGCATAAACATTGCTCTGGCAACTGATGTGTAGGAAAATAAACCAAACATCAATGTGCATGTATATATCTATTTCTGATGTGAGTGATATGCAGGCCTAGGTCGTACATCACGTAACTTTGATGAAAATGTTGTTTCAAAATCGAAACCTAGATCCAGATTATACCATATATGGTGTCAAGTTCAAGGTCGACAGTAAAAATAGATCTAGATTATAAACATTACCACGTGGTTTGTTGTCCTATTTCAACCTGAGGTACTGTGAGTGTTAAAATGATTTTTATGTCCCATTTTCATATAGGCCTACATTTCACTTTTCGTAATTGCCAATGGCCTTTGTTAAATAGATAGATTATGAACATCGATACGTAGGTGCAATTATGATGTACCAGCTTCACTTTATTTTACGTATTTACTCATTTACTAAAATTATTTAACAGGGCATATAACTTCATTGTTGTCGAAGTAAACTACTTCATCATTTATTGTTTGGTGATTTATTGAAACCTACACTCTGTCTCGAGGCCGTCTGGGACGCCGTCAAAACTTGCTGAGTCACGCATCATGTCGATGATGCGGCTGGTTGCCTGACTCATCTCAGGCGGAGGTGGTCCTCCGCCGGTCTTCCTTGACTGAATTCTGTGTTCAGTGTACTGTTTCTTTGCCTTCCGATTCATGTTTGTCCATTTCTCTCTCACCTCCATCAAAGACCTCGGAGCTACCCCCTTAGCATTCACCTCTTTTACAATCTCTCACCATGAGGTGTTTTTACGTTTCTTTGTAACTTTGGTGGAATGTTTATCAATAGCAAAGACCAGTTGGCCTCAACCATTGATTGGATTACATTCTCCTTGTCAGCAGAGAAATTTCGACTTCTCTTTTTCCTTGCGGTGCAGGCGACATTTTGCATTTCCATTTTTGACAAACAGGAAGTAAACAGAACACAGAATTGTGGGATATATGGACGCTAACCAGTGACGTTAACCACACTGTTAACTTTGACGGTGACGTTAGCTAACGGCATGGATAACCATGTTTCGAACAACGCATATTTAACGTTCGGTTAGCTAACGGACGGTTAAGGATTTAACCGGCAGTTAGGAGTTAACCGGGGGTTAAGATAACCGAGTATTGAACAACCGGGCCCAGATGGTCATCTTAGATTGAATGAAAAGGTTACATGTTTTGCCTAATATTTTATTCAGAAAATGACACATGTCAAACTAAAACTCTTCCCATGAATCTGTCGATGTTGACACAAAAACAGATCTCAGTATTCTGCAGGACTCAGCATTATCTTTGGGATATCGGTAATTATGGTAGTAATCTGAAACAGTGTATGTAACATAGAGCCTTGTAGACTGATGCTACAAGGTAAATATCGCCATGACTTCAGGTAAAACTGACAGTCTACCAAACCACGAGGACGATAGTCATCGGTAAATATCTAAACTAGGCATGTGGAATAATGTCATTTCTATTGACTGTTTGTAGACAATACCTCAGTAGATGGATTTGATTCTATCATGGGCCAATTTGATAGCTTCATCAGAAGAAAATGTCACAATGATGTCACAATATACATCTCATACAGCTTTATTTAATAAACATGTAGCCCATGAATGATTCTGGGTTAGAATTGGTCTTCAAGCCACGCTTGTCGTAAGAGACGACTAATGTGACCATGTGGTCAGGCTGGCTGACTTGGTTGACACATGTCATCATACCCCAATTGTGAAGATTGATGCCCATGATGTTGATCACTTGATTGTCTGGTCCAGACACGATTATTTACAGACTGCCGCCAATATAACTAGAAAATTGCTGAGTGCAGCTTTAAACACGAAACAAACAAACTAAAAACATGTCTACCACTCATGTGACAAATGGAAAAATAGTAGAGAATTTTAAAGGGTCCAGGTTATTAATTCATAAAATGGTCAATCAATTCAGAGTATAAATCATCATGCAACGAAAATATTATTGTAGATGTCTCCTGTATCAAAATCAATAAACCATTGTACTAGTCAAAACACTGAATATTTATCTGTGAATGCAGCTTGAGACTGATGCAATGGTTGGCACTATGCCACAAACTAATGACAAAGGATACAACCACTGACATGAAGGTAGTTCCTTGTCACTAACACAACTTTATATCATACAGCTACAGGAATTCAGATAACCTGGAATCTGAGGACCTAAGTCTGACAGTAATTTGAAGTGGCTGATGACTGGACGATTCACAGGTCATCAGGACTGACTACAACATACTTCAATATTTCCATAATTACACAGACCTGTTACAGCATCAGTCTACAAGGCTCTATTTTACATACACTGTTTCAGATTACTACCATAATTACACAGACCGGTTACAGCATCAGTCTACAAGGCTCGATTTTACATACACTGTTTCAGATTGCTACCATAATTACACAGACCGGTTACAGCATCAGTCTACAAGGCTCTATGTTACATACACTGTTTCAGATTACTACCATAATTACACAGACCGGTTATAGCATCAGTCTACAAGGCTCTATGTTACATACACTGTTTCAGATTGCTACCATAATTACACAGACCGGTTACAGCATCAGTCTACAAGGCTCTATTTTACATACACTGTTTCAGATTACTACCATAATTACACAGACCGGTTACAGCATCAGTCTACAAGGCTCTATGTTACATACACTGTTTCAGATTGCTACCATAATTACACAGACCGGTTATAGCATCAGTCTACAAGGCTCTATGTTACATACACTGTTTCAGATTACTACCATAATTACACAGACCGGTTACAGCATCAGTCTACATGGCTCTATGTTACATACACTGTTTCAGATTACTACCATAATTACACAGACCGGTTACAGCATCAGTCTACAAGGCTCTATGTTACATACACTGTTTCAGATTGCTACCATAATTACACAGACCGGTTATAGCATCAGTCTACAAGGCCTTATGTTACATACACTGTTTCAGATTACTACCATAATTACACAGACCGGTTACAGCATCAGTCTACAAGGCTCTATGTTACATACACTGTTTCAGATTGCTACCATAATTACACAGACCGGTTATAGCATCAGTCTACAAGGCTCTATGTTACATACACTGTTTCAGATTGCTACCATAATTACACAGACCGGTTACAGCATCAGTCTACAAGGCTCTATGTTACATACACTGTTTCAGATTACTACCATAATTACACAGACCGGTTATAGCATCAGTCTACAAGGCTCTATGTTACTGTTTCAGATTACTACCATAATTACACAGACCGGTTACAGCATCAGTCTACAAGGCTCTATTTTACATACACTGTTTCAGATTACTACCATAATTACACAGACCGGTTACAGCATCAGTCTACAAGGCTCTATTTTACATACACTGTTTCAGATTACTACCATAATTACACAGACCGGTTACAGCATCAGTCTACAAGGCTCTATGTTACATACACTGTTTCAGATTGCTACCATAATTACACAGACCGGTTATAGCATCAGTCTACAAGGCTCTATGTTACATACACTGTTTCAGATTACTACCATAATTACACAGACCGGTTACAGCATCAGTCTACAAGGCTCTATGTTACATACACTGTTTCAGATTACTACCATAATTACACAGACCGGTTACAGCATCAGACTACAAGGCTCTATGTTACATACACTGTTTCAGATTACTACCATAATTACACAGACCGGTTACAGCATCAGTCTACAAGGCTCTATTTTACATACACTGTTTCAGATTACTACCATAATTACACAGACCGGTTACAGCATCAGTCTACAAGGCTCTATGTTACATACACTGTTTCAGATTACTACCATAATTACACAGACCGGTTACAGCATCAGTCTACAAGGCTCTATGTTACATACACTGTTTCAGATTACTACCATAATTACACAGACCGGTTACAGCATCAGTCTACAAGGCTCTATGTTACATACACTGTTTCAGATTGCTACCATAATTACACAGACCGGTTACAGCATCAGTCTACAAGGCTCTATGTTACATACACTGTTTCAGATTACTACCATAATTACACAGACCGGTTACAGCATCAGTCTACAAGGCTCTATGTTACATACACTGTTTCAGATTACTACCATAATTACACAGACCGGTTACAGCATCAGTCTACAAGGCTCTATTTTACATACACTGTTTCAGATTACTACCATAATTACACAGACCGGTTACAGCATCAG